ACTTTTTTATGGAGTAATGCAATATTGTAATGCATTACTTTTAAAAGTAACTTTCCCCAACACTGGTAACAGATGACCGTATATATTCGTGAATCATGTAAATACCGAGCGTCTCTGCATTAGGCTATTAATCATGATACTTGGCGTGTAGCACAGCGACGCCCCCCTTCATGGATTCATCAGAACATTATCACTGCATTCGGTTTCATGTGTGATGCTGTTGCATTAGCACAGAAGGGACCAAATTAATCACATTGATTCAGCACAGGATCCACCAACGTCTGAAACACAATTATACAACAAACCAGCGACACTGAGCTATTGCGGCTAAGGATCCGCGTCCTTAAAAAGCCCTCATTCATTCATTCATTCATTCAACTGGTCCCTCAAGAACACGGCGAATGTTCTCATAACCTAGAAAGATGCCGAGCATTTTTTGGGCTCCTGTGATGCCATCGTTGTAGCACGCGCCTGTGATGCCCCAAAATGCTGTCTATGTAGCCAGCTCACTATGTAGACAATATTGTAATAAATTAAACAGACAAAAAAAAGCCCGACCTGATTTGAGACTCGTCGTGTTTTAAATTTAAACCAGAGCCTCAAACAAAAATATTGTGTATTTCACAATTAACCCTGAACTGACCATAAGTGTTGTTTAAACAGCTGTGGAGCATGAGTGTGTTCTTACCTGAATCGAGGTGAATCTTTAATACATTCCTCAAAATCCACCGTCATTTTTGCAGTTATTCCGTCGTTCAGTTAAAAATGTAGCATAGCGTTGCCGGTGGCTGTAATGCGCCTAAATGTGAAACGCGAGTGTATCCCTTTCCCCGGTAAAACAGTGACACTGTGACACTGCTACAGATCTGTGTGGAGCCGTTTCAGCGCTGTGCGAGCTAAGGGACCGTCATCAAATATGCGGTAGAAGAAAATAAGGGAGCGTCTTTCAAAATGCATCCCACAATTTTACTGTAATAAACGTGTGTGTACATTTGGAATATTTGGTGTCTGTGTGTTTGATCCACAAGCTTATGTTTATTTCAATTATTTTTTATTTCGTTTAACACTTTACAAGGTCTTATTTGTTAATGCATTAGTTTAGGGCTGCACGATTAATCGAATGCGATTGTCATGCGCATTTTGTTAGTAAAGCCGGTTCTGTAATCGGCAGGAAATCATCATCACGTGCTTTCAGATGGAGCAGAATTTACTACACATAGCCGAAGTTCACTGACAAGTTACGATTTTATTGCGCGGTTCTGAAATCGAAGAAATCGTTCGCGATAATGACAGCTGTTTGCATAGCTTCTCAGTGAACTACGGCTCTGTGAAGTAAATGCTGCTCCATCTGAAAGCATGTGAAAATACCACATTTAATAACATATTTTTATTCCAAACTCACTTCATAACGTCAGTAGAGTGTTTGAAATAAATCTTTCTGTGAGATGATGTGCCTTCTTACATAGAATAAGGCACGCAACATATTTCATAGTATTTAAGCAGTGATAAAGGCATTGCATTATAAATATACTTTATTTTAATGAAAATTATAATAATAAGAACTCAGATAAACCGTATATTGCCATAGTTGTGTGTTTATTAGTCACGTTGAATCAATGAAAGCAGTTGAATCTTCTGTTTATTCAGCTGCAGCGATAGGCATTTTCTGGGTTTCTTCTGCGAGGCATATTTGGAGTTTCAGCGCGAGAGCGCCCTCTGGCCTTTGGATGGAGATTTACTGCTGATCACAGAACCGTGCTTCACTGAAAGATACGCATGACAATCGCAGCTTCTGTCGAATCGCGATCTCGATTCCATTTAGATTTATCGTGCAGCCCTAGTTTTACTGGTTATAATGGAAATTGTACTGGTTTTAATGGTAAATGTAATGGTGCCTGTTGGTCTCTCTACTGGTAATTGGTCATCTTCTATAGGTGGCTTGTTAAAACCACTAAATCCTAATCCATTTTTTAATGGTTTTAATGGTTAAAAGTTGATGGTTTGTAATGTTTATAATGGTATTAGTAGTGGAAACATTAGAATTTCTGTGATGGTTTGTATTGTTTTGTTTTTTCAGCAGGGAGGATAGATTGTGATTTGGTCTTAGTGACTTTGGAGTCCTCTTCCTTACTCCTAACATTTCACAGATTTAGGAGCTAGTTTTAGCGCTAAAATGCTTTGTAAAATAAATCTTGGAGCCAAAATGTAGGAGTCTTAAATTTAGGATTGACACGCCTATTATTTTTAAGATTTTCTCCTAAATCCCCAAGTTATGAGCTACTTTTAGCCTTAAGATGTTGTGTGAATACGGGCCCTGGTTTTAATGAATGCAGATTCTAAATTATATTACAATAAGTTTCAAATGTGTTTTATTTGGGTTGCCAGGCCACTCCCAGAAGAGGAAGATATGCATCTTGATGAGGAGCTTTTCACCGGCTCTTCTGGTGAAGGAGCACCTGGTAAGCCTTAATGATAGATATTCGCAAATATATGGAATATGTAGAGACAATTATACATTTATTACTAGCTCAGGAAACGTTATGATCAATTTCTTTTTAAATTGCAGCTTCACAGTCTTATGGACTAAACAGTGCAAAGAAAACCAAAAGGAAGCTTTTGGCTCCGGACATCAGCCTAAACCTAGACCACAGTGAGGGGTCAGTCCTTTCAGATGAGCTGGATGAGAGTACAGAACTGGACCTGGATGATATAGACACCCCTTCAGACAACAGCAACGAGTTTGAGTGGGAAGGTATGACTGTGGTTTAACCTTTAAATGTTAATAGTTTAACATTACATAATGCTAACGGCAACTAATCTGCTTAATTAGTCATTGTGCAGCCATTCAAACTCATGTCTTTCTAATCCTGTAGAAATGTTCCTTAGTCACTAACATTACAGAGATCATTTCATGGACCGGCTTTGTGTAATAACTCTTAGTTAAACAGTATTATGTGTTCTTGTTTTGTTTTTCTGTCCCGCTGCTCTCTTCTCTCTATCCTGGAAGGATTGTTTCTTCTCATTGGTTTGCGACAGGCCGCTGGCTTGCGGTTTGTGGTAAGGTTACCTGACTGGATGTTTTACTCCCTGATCAAGTCCTACAGCATTGATTTCAGTTTCTTTTTGTTATATCACCCTTTGGTGTGGTATGATACGGCGCTACAAATCAGACGTTATCCATTGTTTTTGCGTGGAGAATGTTGATGGTTGGATTTTGATTTGTGCATGGTTTTTCCTTGAATCTCATCAGATCTGATTCTATTAATCAGCCTCATTTTGGTGTCCTGATCATTTTTTTTTTTTCAACGCTGGAAATGAATCACTTTCAATTTAAAGGCAAAAGCAGCCTTCCATTGTGAAAATGCGTTGCATTTTAGCATTTGTTTAAAAAGCATACATATTACAGATTTTTTATTTTTTTGACCTACTTCTGTAGGAATTTAGTACATCTTTATATGTAATTTCATTATTGCTTGTTCTGCTGAAAGTACTGACAAGCATTTATGGAAAATGAAAATACACTTTAATTTGAAATGTGTTTGTCGTATGTAATTTAATGTAATGATAACTGCAATTTATTACATTTAAAATGTTTTAACTTTGACTGTAGTTAAAATTATAATCAAGTACTTTACATGTGCTCTAGTATGTTAGCCTACACATTAAAATACTTATTTACGACGAATGATTATATGGCTCCTGAAAGTCCCTTATGAAAATTAACCTCAGTTTTATTATAGTAAAAGTGTAGTAAACTTTTTTTTTTTTTGGCGTATTGATTACCATTTGTATAACTACAGATCCCATGATTAAACTATGGTTAAATGTAACAAAGCCAAGGTTAATTTGTAGTCATCATAGTTCAATTATATTAACCATGTTTTTTTGTTTTATTTATAGTGAAACCATAGTTAATTTTCTTAAGGGAGTTGACTTTTTATTTCATAAATATTATGTTATCTGAAAGAACAGTTTTTAAAAAAAAAAATACACTTTAAAGTTTCAAAGTACACTACAAATGCACATTCAGTATACCGGTAATTAAGTGTACTTTTTCACAAGGGTTCTTACATCTTATAACAGATGTATCCATAATGAGCTGTTAAATCTTATAAAGTATATATTGAAAACTAGCATGTGTGTAGGTAGTGTTGTATTAACATTAGCTCTGTTCCAAAACCTAGCTAGCTGCCTTGCTGTCTGCTGTGTTACCTACTGTCCACATAGGCAGGTACCTTCTAAGACATTATACCAATCAAAATTGAAGTGACTAATCTGAAGAGCTCGAAGTTACCCTCACAGTGGATTTCTATAATCGTACATTAGCATGTTGCTAAGCTAACAGCTGCATACTTTTAATTAAAAAATTAAGAAAATACATTGCACACACAAAAAAATACTTGCAGTTTCAGTCATATTTCAATAAACATGTATATGACCTTAAATCTGCAGTTTCGGTTCTCTAATGCAGTAGTTCCCAACCCTGGTCCTGGAGGCACCCCAACACTGCACGTTTTGCATGTCTCCTTAATCAAACACACCTGATTCAGGTCATCAGTTCATTAGTAGAGACTCCAAGACCTGAAATTGGTGTCCGAGAAAGGAGACATGCAAAATGTGCAGTGTTGGGGTGCCTCCAGGACCAGGGTTGGGAACCACTGCTCTAATGGAGTATGCGATTGTCTCATTGAAGAAAAAAAATGTATCAACCTGGGATTTTTAGCAAAAAAATCAACACACTTTGTGCTCAACACTTGCTTTGATATAGGACTTATCATAGAGATGTACACATTATAAAGTGTACTCCTCCTTTGTAAAAATTATTTTGCAATTTTTTGTTTAATACTCGTTCGTTTGGCTGCTTGTTTTGGCACACAGAAACCAGTTTTAATTTGTACCTTGTTTTGCGCTCCTAGGAGTTTTGTAGTTGGGTTTGCTAAATCAAAAGACCACAGGACACGTGTAATTTATTAATTTAGTTTTATTTATTTATTTATTTTATTTATTTTTTTAACTGTGAATCAGCAAAGCATCATTCCTGATCATATAAATGCACAAACAGTCACTGAACTGAACACTAAAAGAAAACCGCGCACATACATTCAAAAATAACAAATATTAAGTAAAATAAACCCTTTATTTCTCTTGTCAGATGACCTCCCAAAACCCAAAAACGCGGACCTGCTGCGTAAAGGAGTGGAGTCGGTGCGAGAGTTCACCAGCACGGAGGAACGGGAGGAGGGCCGTCGGTGGAGAGTCTTCCGCATCGGAGAACAGGAGCACCGGGTGGACATGAAGGCCATTGAGCCCTACAAGAGGGTTATCAGCCATGGAGGTCAGTGACCGCACCTCTCCATGCCAATGTGTCCTGTCTGTTATCTATACAAGGACATTTTCTGTTTGCACCATTCAGGAAGTGAAACTGTCCATGGTCGAAATTGTCAGTGGGTGAAACTGAAAACATTCAGAGCTGTTTTATGATGTATAGCTGCATTATCACTCTCAAAACGGTGCTTCTGATGTTTTAGAGCATTACTGCAGCAGCATTTATTGTCATTTATAACACCACAGCTCATCTGTCACTTTTCCAGATCATCTGTCAGTCAGAAGAGCCTGTTACGATCTCTCTTTCCTCCTTTTCCACTTCCTCCCCCTCCCTTTTGCCATCTAACAGCTGCCACATTCATTCAAAATGCCTCTTTTGCATGCTGTTATATAATGAACAATTACACAGACTGAGCTGTTGATTCAGATGGATTGGATCAGTCAACTTGTGTAATTGCTGTAAAAACGCAACTAACGTTCAAACATTTGCCAGTAGCCACATTCAAACATGGTTCCCCTTTTCTCAGGTTACTATGGCGATGGACTGAATGCCATAATTGTCTTTGCTGTTTGCTTTATGCCTGAGAGCAATCAACCAAATTACAAATACATCATGGACAATCTTTTCAAGTAAGTTCTAGATGGCTGTTTTCAGCCATTTTATTTTTAGTGATGTTTCACATGGCTTATTCTGGTCAAGATCCCTTTAAAGGGGTCATATGATGTTGCTAAAAAGAACATTATGTTGTGTATTTGGTGTAATGAAATGTGTTTATGCGGTTTAAGGTTCAAAAAATACATTATTTTCCACATACTGTACATTATTGTTTCTCCTTTATGCCCCGCCTTTCTGATATGCGTCGATTTTTACAAAGCTCATTGTTCTGAAAAGCAAGGCGTGCTCTGATTGGCCAGCTATCCAGTGCATTGTGATTGGCCGAATACCTCAAGCGTGTGACGGAAATGTTACGCCCCTTACCATACTGTGATGCCGTGATGCTGTGATGTCGATGGCGCGACGAGACAAAACCAATAAAACCCATTATAAATGAGTCATTCATTGCATCCAGTGGGGACATAATTATGGATTATAATGACTTATACTGTCTTTTTACGCGTTGCATCGCGCCGCGTAAACATAAAACCATGTCTGCATTTGTGATCGGAGAAAT